CAATGGTCTTGTTGCTGGTAATTACATACACGACTAACCCGGTGGCGGGTTCGCATTATTAGGAATGTTTTTGAAACCTGTTGAAGCTGAGTAACGAACGAATAAACATAACCGTAGATGTACTGCATGTATGTGTGCTGTGAAAGGAGTTGCTGCTTAATTATTTGTGAACAGTAACATAATCCTTCTCTTAACTCCTGTTTCTGCCTCTAATATGTCTCTGACTAGACCTTCATGCTTGAGAAGATGTCCTATTGACTTTATTGACTTCCATAGTGCCTTCTGTTCTCTACCTCCTCATTTGTATCCTCTATCCTCGGTATCCTCATCTTTTACCTGTAACATCACATTTCGAACGCTTCCAGCATTTTCGTTTCCACTGCGATCATCGTCCACATTTCGCACCGTATATACGACTTCTTTTTCAAAGAAGGCAGCTCGACTTCGCGCTATATTATCTTTATATCTCTACTTTTGAGTCATCTCACTTCGTAGATACCGAAAATCAGCCACATTTTTCGTCACCTGTCTTTATATTCACTCTTTCCCTACACATTTGGTTTTGACGTAACTGTGGGTCATCGCCTAAGATAGATATTAAGTATAACCTATACTCTTTGGCGACGACTTCCAATTAGATTTCAGAAAATACGATTGAAATTAATTTGTAAGTCAGTTCTCTGAAATACACCTTCATTAGTTGGGCGACTTAATCCAATAGAGCCTAGAGAGACCGAATCGAATCCGTAATCCCAAACTGAGACCGCATTAAAGGCTAACGAAAGTGCGTTATCAAGGAATGCCGCCGTTATAATCCAATTTCGGTGCCCACGAGGCAAATAGCCACGATAACGGCATCCGTTTCTGGTCAGAATGCCCACTTCTGAAACCGACGGCGAAGGCGTTCGGACGCCGTTGCCCAACACGAACCCGATTTGAATTTTAAATGCGGCGATAACGGCCATCCTCCAGAAGTACCTATATCTACCACAACACCGCACTGCCCTGCCGGACACTAATATCGTTCGATAAAGGAGCTTTTCCATGTCCTGCATTTAGCATATGCTACTACTGTATGAAGACTAATGGAATTTTAATAAATAACGTATAAGACTTTTGAAAGGATCTGAGATCAGATTTTAAAGTCAAATTTTTGTTCGTTCTTCCTTTCTACAAAGGGTACACTGTGCTCCAACTTTAGACCATAAAATTAATTCAGTTCCTTCTGAAATAAAGAAGGGCAGAAAATAGGAGTTAAACATCTCCAGGGAATTCCACTTGGGTTGCTATTTTTTAAACATACCTACAATTTAGACAACTTTTAGAAGTGAGTTAGTTAAATATGAAATATTAATCTGAAAATTCATTTTTGAATTTTTTTACCCACTACACGTTACCTCAAATTAATGAGGGAAAAATTATTGCTGTTGTTACACCCTCGCCGGGAATCGAACCCGGGACCTTTGGCTTTACGCACCAATATGTTCTGACCACTACGAGAGGTGACAACAGCAACCACGACCAACCGACCTACACGGCTAACGATCCGTCGAACTAATGTAACTATATATACTTAATATACTATGATTAAACATACATACAATTTAGACAACTTTTAAAAGTCCCTCATTAATTTGAGGTAGCGTGTAGTGGGTAAAAAATTCAAATTCAAAATTTTCAGATTAATATTGCTTTTTTTTATATTTTGAGGAAATTTTGCAAAAGTCCTATTGGTAATCCTGCTCTTATATTTTTAGTTTATATTCGATTTATCCGAATATTAAAAATAAAACTTTTAAACACTTTTTGTAAGTGATTTATAATATCTATATGCAGTTAGATAAATATAAAAGGATAAACTGACTCGTTGATATATCAACGGACAGCACAAAGCCCTGTAGACTTTCTTTATGCACCGTAAGCGAGCACTAATTGTAAGGAAGGATTTTTGTAATTCAATCCTTAAAGAGGCGACGTATCAATCAAGACACAAGCCGAACCGCTGAGTCAAGGAGCTTGAAATTTTGCACAAAAGCTCCTTATATAACAGTATCATCCACTATAAAATACGTTTTTACAATACCACCCCTAAAAGTGTATAATGGCGTTTCCAATCTGTCTATCCCTAATACAGGAATTCAACATGTAAAAAGTTCTCTCACAAACTAATTCGTCTTTAAATAATGTTCTCTCTTTTCACTGTGATATAAACTCCTCTATCCTGTTTTAATTAATTATCCATTCATTTCAGTTATACATTTCAGCTAAGACGGCTTTTTTAATTCCAGCTGTAAGTACAACAAAAAAAAAAATTCAAGACGGTGCAATTCATCAACAAAAGAACTCGACTTTCTGACACTCCACTTAGTTTAATGACATGTAAAAAGCATTTTTCTTTCCATTTTGCAAGCGCGTTTAAAGAAACAAAGTTGCTAATTAAAAAAGTCCTCGCGCAAGAGAACCGAGGAGGTCGACGCGATACTGTGCGAGGAGACCAGACCCGAACAGGCTGCAACTCCTGTTTTCTTTATTGCAGGCGTTCTTTTTAAACATCCTTCGCAGGGGTCGTCTATCGCGTTTCGTGTTTTATGTTCGTAAATTACCTTAATTTGGACGACCTCCAGCGAGCGAACACCGCGCACCGGGTCGTTTCTCTTGGAACAGCATTTCCAGCAATGGTCTTGTTGCTGGTAATTACATACACGACTAACCCGGTGGCGGGTTCGCATTATTAGGAATGTTTTTGAAACCTGTTGAAGCTGAGTAACGAACGAATAAACATAACCGTAGATGTACTGCATGTATGTGTGCTGTGAAAGGAGTTGCTGCTGCTGCTGGTACGTGTTGTATATATACGGGAGTTTCCGGCCAGTCAGATGCCAAAAAGGATATTCGTTCATTCGTTTCAAGCGAGGAATTAGGGTGCATTTTACGGGACGTTCTGACGGTTACGTCAAGTAGTTAATGTCATGTCGAATTGATGTCGTGAATTTTGTAAAATGATCAGACGGTGGATGCTTGGGTTTTCTTCACATGCGGGAAATCGATCAGAAAGTCCGAGGCTATTAGATATTCACCGTTGTAAATTTCTAATTCGACAAAAATGCAAAATCTATAAAAATATATACAAGGAATCGAGGAAAGTCCTAACTATCCCAGCGGAGAAGAGGTATCGATGCCTAGGTGACTGGGCAATAGGTATGAAGTAAAGTGCGTCGGAATAGGACCTTGCACTTTAGGGAGGGGTCTGTAGGTGACTTTGCTCAGTATTTAAGGGACGCCAAGGGAGTACCAGTGTGCGTCTGGAGGCATTACGAGTGCTCCAACTTTTATCATTCAATAATAATAATAATAATAATAATAATAATAATAGGTCAGAAGTTCTCTGANAACCACTTAGCCAAGCTTTATTGGGATAGAGACGTAATTACAGTCAACAGTTAATCATAACAGACCTGATATCACACTGACCATCAAAGACACTAAAACGACCTACTTAATAGATGTTGCTGTACCAAGCACTGAAAATCAAAAACATATTGAGAAAATTCAAAAATATATTCCTTTAGCAGATGAAATAAAAGACATGTGGAATCAGAACACAGTTCGAATTATTCCAATAATAATATCATCAATAGACGTTATACCTAAAACATTACACGCTAGCCTAGCCGAGTTGAAACTGTATAAGTTTACGTACATAAGTCTACAGGAATCTCCGTAATCCTTGATACATGCGGAATAGTGCGCAGATTTCTTAACAGTACTGACATATCCCCCTTTTCAGAAAACACAACAGGTTAAATAAGAAGCGCAGTTTTTAATACTCACTGATCATATTTCAGGGCAAGAAGAACCGTTAGCTCCCTAAATTTTAAGAACTCAAAATTGGTTACTATATCCCAAAAGGTGTGAGTGAGGTTCTTTGGCATTAGCCCGTCTTCGCTTGCTCAATGTTACCAGTGCAAACTGGGAAGTCCAGGATAATAATATTGATTCGTAAAAAGTCAAAAACCGCAGCAGGTTTTGAATGAAGAAAAATTGAAGGTTGCAATACAAAAAACAAGGGGAGATTTTTGTAATGACTAGTGTACTACTTTATTTACATATTCTTTTAGTATTTCATCGAATTTCATGCCAGTTTACTACATTTATGAAGGAAGTAACTCTTTTATTTCCGAAAATAAAACATTTAAGAACTAGAATAGGTCAAACAGTCCATTAAGATTAAGAGGAGACACAGATTTGTTTGCTTTAATAAAAAGATCAGAAGAAAGTTGAACCAAACTTTTGACACTTAGAAGCTTTATTATTTATTTATTACTCCCATTGCCTGTTTCACAAGGAAGCAAATTTTCCCGAATATTTATCGTTCAAATAAAAATATACATATCTTCAATTTGATTAGTTGTAGATCGGTAACTAATATTATTGAATTAAGTCCATTAAATCATAATGTAATTCAATAACTTTCTAAACAATAAGTTAATACATTTATTGGCGCCTCCATGTTTGTAGGGATGAAATAAGTTTATAATCCCTTAGAGATTTATAAGAACAGAGGTAAGATTGCGGATAAAAAAACATCCTAATTTTTAAATGATTTACTAGCTACTTTCAAAGTTTGGAAGAAACAATTAGTTTTACTGGGAAATACGAAATAAATAAAGGATTAAGATTTGATTAATCTGTCAGATACCCTGCTAAATCGGTTCTTATACCCTTTTATTTACTTCCTAAGAAGTTTTTTGGTTTCTATGACATAGTAGAACATTTCTTCATGTACCATATCTCTAACAGTTTTGAAATAAACATGTTATATCCCCTTACCTAAGGGTTATAACTAAGAAGAAACAGTTCTAGTTAAAAAATATTGTGTATCTTGTAAATCCATGCATACTAAATTTGCATTATATAATATCATAATACAATTATGTTACTGCCTTAAGGTTTAATATCTACACAGGATTAAATTAAACCGAGCAGATTCTAAAACTCACCTTTTGGTCATTTACAAACCAGGTGAGATTCGGGGCTGGATATGCAGGGGGTGCAGTACATTCAGCAATTAGTGGTCCACCTTGTTCCAGTTTACTTTTGTCGACTCTCACCACAGGTGCGCCATTTGGAACAACTAAAAACAGAGCAATGGTTATCCATAATCGGTGGAAACATTGCAAATGTAAAAGTAAATTAATAAGGACTCAGTATTTTGTATTTGTGATACCCTATCACTGCACCTTCTTACGGTATGACCCATTCAGAGATGTGATTTATTTGAAACAGGTATATGCATTTAAATACTTTTTTTGAGAAAAGCGTTTTGTATTTTATTTCTCACATTGGTCATTGAAGGTATTAGAAGCTTAAAAAGGAGACAAAAAGACATTCCATGAATACCTTCTAATTCTTAATAAATGCATAAAATTCAAAATTCTTAGAAAACGATTCGAAAAACTTCACTTACTAGATGAACCCAAAGCTAAAGAAACTATTGATACACTTTTTTTGAGAAAAGCGTTTTGTATTTTATTTCTCACATTGGTCATTGAAGGTATTAGAAGCTTAAAAAGGAGACAAAGAGACATTCCATGAATACCTTCTAATTCTTAATAAATGC